GGGGAGATGAAGTAAATTGAAAAAAGGAACAAATTAATTAAAATGAATTCTAAAGAGACGCTAAAAAAGAATCAGGGCTGCTGAAATTAAACTAAAGTCAATTTAGACCTTTTCAGTTCAAGTCAGACACCAAATCTACTGGGCAATCACTTCCAGTCTCTGGTGAGTACAGGAGATAGACATAATCAAAACTGGAAAACGTAAGAAGAAGAATTGATTCCTCACAGGAAATAACCTCATTTATCTCACAAGTCAATGCGTTTGTTTTAATGGGCCCAAAAATAAAAACACTTTGGATGGTCGGTAGCAATAAACAGGTGGTACCTTGAAGTGATGACTGTTAATGACCATGGATGGACAGATGGATGAATAAGTGGGTGAAGTCAGTGGAGAAACGTTTGATGTACTATTATTCAAAAAATGCAAACTAGAATTTAAATGCATCAAATAATAGAAGAAATTAAATTATAATTTGTTTTACTTACTTTAAATTCTCTAAATAGCACTAAAAATATCTCCTTGGTTTATTTAAGGGTTGAGGGGTAGTACAATACCTCATTCAGATGGAATAATATTGAGGAGCAGCACCATGACACCACTGATAATACCCCATTATCTGTTGTCCTTGTTGTGAACAGTGTTTTATGGTCTCTGTGGTGTCTACGGAATTACTCTAGTGCTGACAGACCGATTACTGAAAAGGAAATTTCCAGATGGGAACATTGATCCTGAAAGACCAGTATTGATTTGGTTTGTCAACATCACTGGCCAGTGTTTAGCCCTCAACAATAACAGAGCCTCAGCTCCTGACGTCAGCTGTTACAGTTTCTCCAAAACGTCTTAATATTGTCTCTATGAAACGCTGGAGTTGTCCAAATATGTGGTTAACAGAATTTACAATGATCAAACATCAGCTTTATTATTTATATTTCACAACTTTTCCTCTACCTTTATATATGCAAATGTAGAGGACATGACATTTGTCAGCCTTTATAAATAAATAAAACATAAAAACAGACAACAGAGGAGAAAGCCTGTCCAACAAAGTGAAAATGTCATCTGACTCTGAACCAGCAGCAAATGCCACAAGAGATTGTCAGAGCAAACGGTGACATGACTTGGTGAATACAGAAAATACTGTGACATTACACGTAAACCACCTGTACTGTGTAATAAAACTGCACAAAGATGATGAAATATTACAGAGACAGTCTAAGTCACGTGGGCCCACAATTTATTTCCATCCCTTTGACGGGGAACCCATTGTCTGTGACCAAACTTTAATTAAAGTGATTTTTATGAAGTGATTAAAAAGACGATAAAGTGGATAATGTCACTGCGTTTTTATTTATTTATTTATTTTCTGAATTATTCTGTTACTTTGATATGTCATAGCTCCCTGAGTTATGCTGATCCTATGTATTTATTCTATTTGATGTGTATTTTATGCGTTTCCTTCATTATTTAGGTCTGAGGCTACGCTGCCGTCAGTCCCAGCCACGACACTGAGATTAAAAACCCTGCAAAATGTTTCTAATCTCAGGGAAACTGTCTGGTGGATCAATGACCTGCGATGAAAAGAGGAAAAAAATATGATGAAGTCCACCCTCAGTACATCATCTCTGTCATTTAACCTGTCTAGACCTAAGAACCTGGTTCCTGAGAACCGGAAAATTTGGCCAGAACCTACAGTGTCCTTCAGTACTGGGTGATCCCCAGTCTCAAACTCCAGACTGGTTTCCAACAGGACTGCCACAACCCTCTGACTATAGATTTTATTTACTAATTTGTGTTCAGTGTGTTTCTTAGTGGTTTAATATCTTCTTTCTGGTGATGGAACTGCTGAAAAATGCATCTTTAATTAATACGCTTGTTTCCCAATTTTGTTGACATCGTTAATCTTGAAGCAAACAATGTGTTATTATATGAAAAAACATTTCACAGCTAATGTCACAAACAAGTATATTGTGAAAGAAATCTACATAATCTGTGTCAGTTTAAAGTTGTTGAACACAGAGTGTGGAGAGAGTTTATCGCAGGAGCGGAACCAATTGGCAGACAAACACAGGCTGTTTGACGGCGAATACAGCGTGAAATAAAGAAAATAACGCTCTTAAAATGAGAGAGAACGCCGTCGGACAAAGATGGAGAAGAAAATCTGTATCTTTGCTCCTGTCGTCGGATGGTTCGCCACGGTTAGATTGTCAGCAGCTCGGCTGGTTGAACTGTACATTTGACACTGCAGCAGTGAGGAGAAAAGAAAATGTTGCCTTGAAGACAGAATTATGTAGGTTATCTGAGTGAAGCTAAAGGCTGTGAAAACCGATTTCATTCATCACCATTCGGCTCGAGCGCAATGTCACTTTACATCAGGAAAGTTTTCAGTTCACAATAGGCCTAATGAAATACAAGGGCCTTGAGCCAAAATAAATCACACCCATGGTTTTATCTGAGACAAAACACTGGCTTAGGAAGTGTCTTTAAAATGAAGATGAATTCCTCCACCCTGGGATATAAGTTATAGAGTGAATTATAATCCATTGTGCATGAGAAATAACTAAGCCTGACATTCATAGCAGTTTTCTTCTCCATCTTATATAACAAATGATCTCTGCGCGTGGATGAGCAATGAAGGGTTCTTATTTTTACTGTGCATTAATAACCAGTAACCTGGCTTCTCATCTTAGCCAGAGTCGAACTATCCCCACTGTTACGCAAACAGGAGGATTTTTATCAAGGGGGAAATAAATAGGTTACGCTTGATGTACTTAATAGGCCTGTGTTTAGGGCAGGCATAAACACAGTGTTATTTACAAGCATGAAAATAATCACTTTATTTCCACGCTGTAGATAATGTTAAGTTATCTTTGTTTGTTTGTTTACATTATTTTATATACCCTGTTATTCTTACATATTTT